TAGGTGGAATCAAAGGCAAGTGGGTCTTCTGGCCCAAAGTAAAATTTGCATATTATTCTAATTCTGTGGAAAGCCACTGGGGGAGGGGGGTTAGCAAGTGAGTGGCCAGTCTCATTTTATATTTTTAAAGGATTGTTATTTTGGATGGAGAATGATATTCAGAGTGGGGCAAAAGGGGATTTAGGGAGACCAAAAGTGGAGGGGAGAGAGGGCCCGAGGCCTTAGATTCAGCTGGGGCAGGTGGAGGTGGCCAGGAGCGATCATGTCCAGCACTTACTTCACAGGTCAGGCTAACAAATGTGGACACAGAGTATGACATAAAGAAATGAGTTACTCAGGATTGTGGCCTGAATAAATAGGTAAATGGTAGCACGTTTTACCGAGACTGGGAAAGCCTGAGAATGGAAGGGCCTGGTGGAAGTGGGCATTCAGCACATTAATTTTATATACACTGCTGGGAAATATCCGTCAACATCTGAGTGGAGATATAGGTGTATTAATTTGGGGTCTATAGGAGAAGGCGAGATTAAAATCTGGGACACGCGCAGGTATACAAAGAAGCAGGAGAGCTCTGCCAAGAGAGAGGAACTGAGAAAAAGAGAAAGGTAAGAAGTGAGCCTGGGGATCAGGAGAAGGAGGACCAGCCCGCAAAAGCAATGGAGGAGAGACCCAGGAGACGGCAGGAAAATGGGGAGAGTGCGATGGATCTGCAGCAGGAAGGAAATGGAATAGTCAACTGTGTGCCAAAGAGCTGCAGGGCCCAGCAAGGGGGGCAGTGAGGACCAGGAATGGGCTCGGCCATGGGAGGTCCTCAGGGATGGAAGGGGCTCACGGGAGGCTGACAGCTTCCCTGGAAAGACTAAAGGCCAACCGTTCTTTCTAGAAGGAATGAGAGATGGAGTGCAGCAGGAAAAAGTGACAACCCTTTGGAGGTTCTTTCCTAGAGTAGAGCCAGGAAAGGGTGTGCAACGGGAAGGCTCCAGAGAGAATTTCAAAGGCGGGAAATGTGGCATCATGGTCACATTTCAATGAGAACAAGACTAGAGAGACTCTCGGGTGACACAGGCCAGTGACAGGATTCTGTGCCCCAGGGAGGTTGGGAAGTGACAGGAAGCCTTGGGGACGGGCACCAGGTGGATAGGGAGGGAGAGAGGAAGGTGTCTCCCAAGTGTTTTCCCAGCCTCCACGAAACAAGAAGCAAGATCATCGGCTCAAAGTGAGACAGTGGTAGACTGAGGAGCAAAAGGAGATGTGGACTCTCAGGGTAGGAGAGAAGATAGATGACGGAAATTGACTGACAGGAGGTCCCGAGGGCCAGTGTGGGATTCATGTCATGAACCTAAAGTAGAACATTCCTGCAGAATAACCCCCCAGCGAGGCAGCCATGGCTAGAGGACGTGACTACGACCGACTGTGAGTTCCAGGGATCGAGTGAAGAGCCAGGTCCCTTCATGGACACGGGCTGGGTCAGATCAGGGAACATGCAGAGTCAGAAGGAGCCCCGGGATGACAGGTGACCTGGCGTTTGGGGTTGTGCTGGTGACAGGGCTCTGACAGGAAGTGATACACCATGGCCTGGGTTCTGGTGACCCCCAGGGAAGGCAGACTCTCTGGTCTCACTGCAGACTCCCTCGCGGGTCTGTGCTCTCAGGAAGCTGAGATGTTGGGTTACAGGAGAAAAACCCAGTTAAAAATCTGACTGGGCTGCTCAGGGGGACAAAGGATCCCTAAGTCTCACCAATCTGGGGTCTGCAAATTCCTCTACCACCCAACAAGGGAGAGGGAGACCACGTGGCAGCTTAATAAGTAATGGGCACAGAACTAAAATTAAAGGATGGATAGAGCACACTTCATCCCCCCGAAGGCCCTGTAGGACAGTTGAGGAGACTCTCTGTGAACCATTAGCAGAGGTCTGGAAGATGGGCCCTCACAGTGGTGTTGTTACCAGGAGGTAAGGAATAGAGCTGTTATCTGCATCCAGAGGTCACTAGAGAAGGTTCCAGAAGTAGTGCCGTTGACTGAGCACGTTCTTCAAGACCATACTACTTCTGTTGGCCATTTGCAAGATGTTATCTGTTTTTATTAACAACCTTAAAGCACATTATTCATGCAAAATGTGATCAGAAAAATAAATACGCCATTATGTTATCATACCCTAGGGACGAGAGCTCTTAAGTAGACAAATGTTCTCTTGGGAAAAAGAGGTTATCAGTCTGCATGAGGCTGCCAGAGAGCAAAGGGATCTGAAACCAACCCAGGGCAGGGACGAGCGTGGTGTGCAGGCTACAAGGTGATGCGCCCTCATGTGATGGGAACTGACCAGGAAAATCAAGTGAGAGGTTCGCTTCCTGGACTCAACAGTGTGGGCTGGGTGGAGTCTGACTGGCCCATTCCAAGTCCCAATCTTGCCAATCTTGCTTCCTTTTTCATCCCAAATGTTTGGTTGAGATTCAGATCCCTTCATCAGAGGAATGCGGCATTAGTTATCCGTCATTGATTCCTTGGGGAGAATGCTTGGAAAAAGCAGCTTGGTCCACAGTGGGATGACTAGAGGGAACAGGAGGGTGTTAGCCTTCAGCCAGGGACAAGCAGGAAGATAGAGACCTGCCTCCCAGCCCAGCTCCTGCACTGCAGCTGCATTGTCTTTGCCTGTTTTATCCCCTTAGCTAGAGCCCACCAATTCCAGAGACCACGTCCCAAATGGAAAAGTAGGGCCCTGAGATTTAAACCTAGGCTTTCTTGTCCATAAAACAGGGTATCCTATGCAGACCAGCTTCCTCCCTTAGCACCCAGCACAGAGCAAATATAACAAGGGTCAATCTTACCAGGATTCATAAGAATCACAGACCACTACCGACAGATGTCCACCTGCAGATATTTCCAGGAGAGGTGACTATCCTTGGAGGTATGAGAAAGAAAGGACAGAAGGAAGGAAGGACTGAGGAGCCCCTTTTGTTGAAGACATGGTTAGGTCATGTTATCCAGCATTATTCTTGGACCTAAGGAATTGCG